TTAATTGGATAGGTAGAGCTGTGTAGTTGTCACTAAACGGGTACTTAAATAAAGTCAAAATAGCTTGATATACATATATTTTTGTTAATTTTCTGAAACTTTGTTTATTGATTTTTAGGGAGAGGGAGGGATAATGGAGAGATGGAAGGGAGAGAGTACCATGGGGGAAGGAGTGAGAATGAGAGAAAAACGTGTTTATTGTCCCACTTACTCATGCAGTCACTGGTTGATTGTTGTATGTGCCCTGACTGGGGATCAAACCCATAGCCTTGGCATATTGGGATGACACATGAACCAACTGAGTTACCTGGCCAGCACTTACTTACTCACTTCATTTTAAGTAAGGGACTCACTCCCAATAGCACTGCAGGAAATAGATTTTAATTCCCAAAACCATCAAAGAAAAGTTAAATTCAGCAACAACATGTATAATAATCCTGAGATTAATTAAATTCATCCTAATTAGAAGAGAAAAGGAGGCAGAAACTTTCAGACTGCTCATAGAAGGAACATGGTCAAAGGCCAACACGAGAAGGAAGCAGCAGACAGAAAACGCAAGCAAGAAGAACAGATGGAAACCGAGCAGTAAGTATTTTTTAATTCTAAATTTTGATTTTTCTTTAAAACTAGCATGACATGTTTAAACAATGGAATATCATTTCCCAGACCTTGAGCAGCAGCCTTTTAAAGAGGTGACTTTTCCCATGTGAGAGGAAAAAATTCTTCAGTATATGATGATAATCATGTTTCCGGCTCTATTCTTTTCTGAGTAGGAGGGTGAAATTCATGGAGAGTAATCACTCTGTGAACTATTTCTAATTTAAACTCAAAATGCAGATCACAGATAAGATTGAACTGTTAGTGGCTTTGTAGAAGATGTCCTCATCCTCTACTGTTTATTTTTATAGTACTAAACACAGAGTAGAATGAAAGAAATATCCTTATTTGTCATACCACCAGCAGGCCTCCCTCAAAAGACCAGCAAAAATTACAAAAGCACAGTTAGAAACCCAAGAGCCAGTGTATCTAAAGGCTAACAGGGTTTGCATTAGATATGTGCAATATAAATCAAGTTCAAAGCTGATTTCTTGTATGGTCTTACACTTGAAGACAATATATACTTAAGGGAATTTCTTTCCCCTTTAATTCTATGAAAGAATTTTATTGTAAGGAAAATAGCTATGGCAGTGATTAGGCTTCATGTGTTACATTTGTTTTTCCAAGTTATCTTTAAACTGTCACTTCTGAGTTATCTGAAAAACATTTCTTTGTGAAGCATCTGGTATTATTCTGACTGGACTTTTTATTTTGGTAATTTTAAAAACATGCTCTAGGTAACTAAGACTTAATAAACAGTAAAATTTTTATAGGTGTTCTTAAATAATTTTGTCCTTTTCTCTTTATACAGTAAATTTGTAAGCTAAAGGTCTTTATTTACAGGCATAGCATTTGACTATCTTGCTTTTAGTCTGGAGGATTATATATAAGCAGTTTCTGCTGCTTGAGGGAGTAATGAAAACTGATCTAAGGCTCAGAATGTTACTCCTGCTTATCTGTTAGGTGATTTTCACCATTTTTGTGAATATCAGTTTTTTCTTACTGTCCTTTTCAATCCCACCACAGAAAGTTGTTGCATTGTTTGTTTTTATTGTGCTCTGCAGATTAAGATATAAAATTAGCCATTGCTTCGTAAAACATAGCCCAGTCCTTCCTTAATAATCCAAAGTTATCTTTATGTGTTTCAGTTCTTTTAAATGTCCTCCGAATGTAACTTTCTCAAATTCTAATATTTGTGTTTTCTTTCCTTCTCCTGTTATTACAAAACTTTGTACTTGGACAGTTTTGCTCTGTAAAGCATTTCAGATGCAGCTTGTGTGAAATGCATTATGCAAAATAAAGTTTATTGTATTGTATTCCCAGCCAAACAACATGTAATCTACAGTAATAAAAAATATATCTCATTTTGGGCTCAAAGCATTAATCCAGTTACTGAAAAGAAAATGCAAGTGGAGCAAACAAGAGATGAAGATCTTGAGACAGACTCATTGGACTGAATTTCCCCCTCCCCCCCTTTGATGGAAGAAATGTTCCAGATTCTAAATTGAGGACTTCATTAATGGCATTATTACTGTGTTATGATTGTTAATTTCCTGTAAGGTACACACTACATACTAAGGTCGGCAAAAGTTTTTTTCCAAGCTTAAAATGAAGCTTTGTGTATGAAAATTAGAATAAGCTGAAAAGACGGTGGTTGTACATTATTTCCTTTAGAAAATATAAAAACTAATTTTGTTTTGAAGTTAGGTGTTAAACTGGAATAGCTATTATACCCCAGAGAATGGGGCAGTTGTGCCCTTCCCTTTACATTCCTTTGTTGTTTAATTCTTTAGAATCTTAATTGTTTTTTAATCCTGAGAGATTAAACATAGCCTTGTTAAGAAAACAAAAAATGAAACTGTAACCAAAATTTTAAAATAAAGTTTTTTTAAAAAAGAAACCCTGATTTTTAGATATTTTTTGTTCTTGTCTATTGAATTGGTTTATAAGGCTCAAACTCCAAGCCAAGGTACTAGAAATTAGTAAGAATTTAAGTCATTTACAGTAAGATGGTACCTTTTCATTTGTGAAATGGTATGTAAATGTTAGTGATGTTTAAGCTCGATACATTGGCAAAACTATTTTTATAAAATAGTACATACTATCTTTAAACATCTTATTTAATATTGAAATGAATCAAATTACCTGTCCTTTGGAGATGTGGGAACAATTAAACCAGTCTTTTATCATGTGTTTAAGCCTAATGTAGTAGTGACAAAACATTTATAGGCACTCTCTTCTCGTTATGGCCTGTTTGTCCATTGACCCTGATACTGGTCTTACAATAATACACTATTTATTGTTGGAAAAAATTTTTACCATGGTGACTGTTAACAATTTTATTGAAAAATGAGATTGTTAGATTAAAGGTTTTGAGTTTTGCTTGTATTTATAGCAGTTAATGCTACAGCACTGCAGAGTTCTAAGAATTACAGTCAGTTATTTGTGACCTAGACTACTTTTTATTTTAAAGAAAAAGATTGTAATTTTTAGTTACGGGATTGTGAGCATGTGGTAATCAGTCACAAAGTTCCAATGTTTTGAAATATCTGTGTTAACATTTGATAGGCAGAATAAAGATGAAGGAAAGAAGCCAGAAGTTAAGAAAGTGGAGAAGAAGCGAGGTTAGTTACTTTACTTTCTAAGATGTATAAAGTTACACATAGAAAGGAAGTTATACAGACACTGAATTTTTCATGTGTAGGTTTTAGAAGGTCATTTTATGTTCTTAAACCCTACAAATAAACTTCAAATCTCTAATTGATTGTACATACATTGCATTGTATTGTAAGTATAACCAGGTAAACTTGCTAAGGAGTCATGGTTATTATTTTAATGCTCATTATCTGATTAATTCAGATTAGTGATCTAGAAAGATTATTAAGATTTTTTAAAATTACCAAATCTTTCCGTTATACTTTGTTAATGTCACATACTGGTTTTAGAAAAACTATTTACTCTTTCACATTTTAATTTATAGAAACATCAATGGATTCTCGACTTCAAAGAATACATGCTGAAATTAAAAACTCACTCAAAATCGATAATCTTGTAAGTGTTTAATACTTCATTAAAAATACAATGCTGCCTTTATAGCTTTATATTTTCTCACATGGTTTTTTATAAGTATTTAAGATAGAAGGGACTATCACTGGTTGTTTTGTACTGCATTGTTTGAAATTTTGAAAGTAATCTTCAGAAGTAGATTACAAAGGTTGTGGTAATTAACGGTTATGAAATTACTGTTTTGTGAAGGATGTGAACAGATGTATTGAGGCCTTGGATGAATTAGCTTCACTTCAGGTCACAATGCAACAAGCTCAGAAACATACAGAGATGATTACAACACTGAAAAAAGTAAGCAATCTTAAGTCATGCAGATTTTAAGATTTTCCTCAAAACCAATTCATTTAAAAAGTAACAAAATCAATTAGGAAAATAATTATGAATGCATATTTTGTTTTCTCAGATTCGGCGATTCAAAGTGAGTCAGATTATCATGGAAAAGTCCACAATGTTGTATAACAAGTTTAAGAACATGTTTTTGGTTGGTGAAGGAGATTCAGTAATCACACAAGTACTGAATAAATCTCTTGCTGAACAAAGACAGCATGAAGAAGCAAATAAAACCAAAGATCAAGGCAAGAAAGTGTCAAACAAAAAGCTAGAAAAGGAAACAGGTATGTGGTAAGGACTGCTTTCTAAAAACTGGCATTGGTACATCACTAATACCTTAATCTACATTAAACTACAAAAGGTCTCTTCTGTACTTAGCATGGAACATAGTCATGTCAACCTTACAGCTTGCCTTTCAAGTTTAAATTAGTAGTAAATACTATTGCTTTTTACTAGACTATTGAACAATGTGGGGTTTAGGGATACCAACCCCCTTTGCAGTCAATAATCTCCATATAACTTCTGACTCTCCCAGAACTTCACTACTAATAGCCTATGCTGAGTGGAAGTCTTACTAATAACAGTCAACTAACATTTTGTGTATTATATAGTATAGTATATGCAGTATTATAAAGCTAGAGAAAACATTTTTAAAAACTTAATAAAATAGTCACAGCATTTATTAAAATACTGCAATTTTTTCATTTAAATCAGGAAAAATTTTTACCTACACAAAAGTAGAAAGAAATGAATTTCCCATGTCCATCACTCAGCTTCAGCAGTTACCAGCAAATGACTATTGCTGTCTTAATACTCTAATGAAGTTTTTTTTGTGATACCCCAGCAGATTATTTCGAAGCCAGTTCCAGATACGCCATTTGAACTACATATTTTAAGTTGTATCTGTGATGGACTCTTAAATAGTGTCAGTATCATCATCTGTTCCTCACTTCTATTAATCATCTTAGCAGCAGCTGCTTAATGTAGAAACCAATACTCAAAAGGAGTTGGATTTTTTTAGCTCATGTATTAGGGAATGTCATATATGTGTCCTTAAGAGATTTTTAACACAGATTTTATCGATCACACTGTTACAGTTGTCCCATTTTTCTTCTCTTCATCCCCCTCCCCATGATCATCTCCCCCTTCCTTTATTTCATGTCAATGAGGAGATTCTTCTTAAAAAGATTTACATGGAGGCTCTCATTGTTTGCTTAATAACAGGGCACAAAATCATGGTAATTAAGAAATACTTTTTTTACACTTTCTAAAATACCATGTACAAAATGACATGTACAAGATTTTACTGTGATTCACATTTTTCTGAGAAATAAAATGAATGATAATGCTCCAAACAGTTGTACCACCCTGTTTCTGATAATAGTAATAAATGGAATGATCAAAATAATGATCTACTTCCTGTACCCACAAATATACATAGCAACCTTGCTTCTTAAAGTATGTGCTCCAGCTACCCCAAGGTTTACAAATAAAATACATTATTATAAATTTCATGTTGTATATTTTGAACTCTAGAGGACATGTTCACAAGTATTAGAAGCTCTAACAGTTTTTTCCATTGGAATCCTTGTAAAGGTTCAAAAACTCTAAATGGAGGCTCTGATCAAGACAGTAATCAAGCCCAACACAATGGAGACAGCAATGAAGACAGCAAAGATGAGGCCAGCAGCAAGAAAAAGTGAGGATGTGTTTCAGTGGGTCGTAATGTGTGTGTTTGATTTTTAAATCATGTTGTCATCTCAAGGTTCAAATATAAGGGATTATATTTTGACCACCCTGTTCCTGAATCCAGGAAACAAGATGCAAATTCAAAAGGCAAAAATGTAAAACAATTATTTACAACTGATTTGCCTGTGTTCAAGGTTAGAGAGCTGGCCTGAATCCAGTTTTTAAAAATTAACTTCTTCCTTGGACCAATATCACTCATGTTCACACTTTATTGAATTGTGACAGGATAATAAAAATGAGATCTGGGATCTCAGGCTATTTTGTATTACGATACCTGTTCTAGATATGGAACCATGGTTATCCAAGCCTTGGTTTCCTCCACTGTATATTAATATATTAAGCCTTGAAATCAGGCATCCCTTCTAATTCCGAAATTTAGGGAAATCCTGCATGATGTGTATCATCCCTTCTTTTCATTTAGATTATAATAATGCTGGTATCACAGGCATTAACATTTTCAATTTTTTAAAGAGAATTCCTGCTAGCTCTGGCTGGTGTGGGTCAGTGGGTTGTGCCAGCCTATGAACTTGAAGGTCCCTGGTTTGATTTCCCAGTCAGAACACAAGCGTGGGTTCTGTGGGCCAGGTCCCTGGTTAGGGCAACAAGAGGGGCAACCAATTGATGTTTGTCTTCCTCTTTCTCTCCCTTCCCCTCTTTCTAAAAATAAGTAAATAAAGTTTTTTCAACAGAATTCATTTAAAAGCTGGAAATGATGGAAAGGGCCTGAGCCAACATACTGCCTGAGTTGCTGTGCTTGATCAGCATGTTTGGCAAAGTCAATAGAACAGTAAAATGAATTTTCAACCAAAAAAACAACTAAATATTTGGGTGATTTAAAAAACAATGCACACATTAATACCTTTTTTTTCTCTTGAGGAAAAATGTCCCCTAACCCCAGTTGTCACACCTCTTCCCCCCCCACTTTTCTATAGGCCATCCAGTGAAGAGAGAGAGACCGAAATATCTCTGAAGGATTCTACGCTAGATAACTAAGTTGACATGCTGGAATATAAAGAACATTTACGAAGTTTGTAATGGTTTTCATTTGAGATATTTAGACTGTTGAAAGTTTTAAATTTTTATAATAATAGGTTTTGATGTTTAAAACTTGTTTTGAGGGGGAAAATCCCTTTATCTTTGTTTAAAAATAATTAAATACTGGTTAAGTGTACTTGTGCAGTATTAACAGCTACATAAACAGTAAATGTGAGGGGAGATCGGAAATCTTGGAACTGCTTTTCAAGACATTGGTTGTAGCATATTTTCAATTTGTGTGTGTATGTTAATGTGTAAGTGATAGTAAAGTTACATTTTTAAAACTGCTACTTGTATAAAACCTTCACTCTTCCCCAAATATTGTGGATTTTGTGCAGTTTTTACAAATCTTGGATTTACCAGACTGTCTTTTCACTGTGGTTTTTGTAGAAGTTAGACATTTTTATGGTAGACAAAATGTTACTTCTATAAAATTATTCCCTTCTACTTAAAATTAACCTCAGTCTACATTGTGCTACATTATCCTGCTGCTTTGTAATAATGTATGTGGTCTGTATGCCATTTTGTATGACAACTAGATGCCCAACTGACATTGAACTGACAATTCTACATGGTACAAAACTTATGTTAACTTTAGAAACTAATTGAATTCTGTAGCTGGGAATTCAGCAGTCACAGGACTTTTTTGCGGATAGCAGAACTGGTGTACATAGGAATGAATCTGGCCCTACAGGTTCAGCCAGTCTAAGGTCCTTTATAGGTACAAGTAGCTAAAATTGAAAGCTAAGTGATAAAAGTTTATTTTTGGGACATTTCGGAATTTTTTAAAAAAGTCACACTCACTTAAAGTTAGCAAGTAGTATTTTTTTAATTGGAAAGCAACCCATGATGTTTATTAAGTAAATAAAAGTACTATATAAGGAAACTAGCCTATTTAAAAACATGGCTATATCAGAAGGGAATTTTTATTTCTGCATTGTACACTTGACAGGATTGCAAAAAGTAGAAACATTACCTTTCTCTGAGGCAGCAGGCAAAGGAATGGTTTGAATAGTCTGCTAAATCTGAGTGGCCCAAGGTTAACACAAGAGTTAAGGCTAACTGTAACAAAGTATTTCTCAGATCATATAATTAGGTCAGTTGGTGGTTTTTGTAGCTAAGACGGTTTGTCTTGAAACTATGAGTACAGGAAAAAGGCTTTTAATAAATACTCAAGTGTTTGCATGTGGCATAGACTGTATGTTCTGACCTCAGATAATTTTGTTTTCATCAATAGATGGAAAGTGAATTTTAATTTTGAGAGGTCTTACAATGGAACCTAGGACTTAGTGTTTGGAGGCCACTCTTCCCATTGTATCTGTTTGGTCCTTAGGACAACTAAAATTTGGACACATTATTCTTGTTAAGCTGTAAGTGTCAACATGTAAACTTGTTTTGATTAAAGAATTTTTTAATCAAACTGTTACTAGTAAATTACTTCTTTGCTATTTACAAAAATGTGTTGGAATTCTGGATTGGCTGCCAAGGGGGAGTAATAGAGATTGTGTTGTTTGGAGAGACTAGGAAACTAATAAGCTCAAACTGATAAAAATAAAGGAAATGTTATTTTTGATCCATTCTCCCTTCTGTGACCCAACAGACCTACACAGCTTACGAAGAATCACAGAATGTTCTGATTATGTGGCATTAAAACACAAGGTGCCTTCTCTAACCCTCATTTCAAGACATTTCTCTTTGTCACTAATGCACAAAACCCTCTTGAAAATCATATAAATAATCATCAAGAATGTTCAGAAGCACTGGCTGAACTTAAATGTGTATTTGGTTAAAACTCCAAAACTGTACAAGTTGTTCTAGAGATAATTAAATGAGAGTGTAAGACCACTGCCTCGGCCTTCAAACCCACACTAAAAAAAAAGTGTGTACACACCACCTATTTCATTGCTGCTTTTTAGACTACTGGATAATGTTTTACATTGGATGTTTCAAAAAAGTAAGTTATGCATGACTCAGCAGAATCAACTGTTGAAGGTTTTCTTAGCCCCTTTGGAGAAATTATAGGAGTACCATCTGAATCAGAGAATCTAAATCGGACTTTCTGTGTGTAAACAGCTCGGAGTACTTTAAGCCTTATAATTGCTATTATGTTGTGTGGTTTTCAGATAGTAGGACAACAAATTGATTGTAGTATACACATACACTTACCTGGTTGAAGATGCTGGGTCAAGATGAGGCGGCCCATACAAGACCAATGGCTTTTACAGGGCTCTGAAGGTTTCACTAGCAACTTTGTTACACTGGCCCATGTTTATACCTTAAGAACCTGCTAAATAGGCAGAAATGTATTCAAATCTGTGCTGTGCAATTCTCCAGCCTTAGAGATTGCTAAAGACATTGTGATGTGATTGGGAGAAAGGCTTAATTACCCTTAAAAGGTAATGAAGCCTGAAAAAGATGTTTCAGGAAACAGGCACTGCTTTTCTAGACTGTGATTTTGTGCATGACTCTATATATTAAAGTCTGATTCATTTCTAAATAGAGGATACTGATTAATTCAAGTTCATGTCTTCATATTTGCTTTTCTTTAGATAAAATATGTAACCTCACTCATGTGCTGTTTAATGTTGCAATTTGTAGCTATAAAATCCCTGATACAAGATACCTTTGTGCCTGTTTGGAAGCCGAGAATTTCTTTTGGTGTGAGACCTGTGTATCTGATACACAATGCATTGGCAAATTCTTGAAGTGATCTGGTTAGGTTAGCCTTTTAGATTTTACCAGGAAATGATAATAGATACCTGAGGCTTGTAACATTGGTGAAAAGGTTCACTTTAAGAACCGTCAGGAGAACATTCTAAAACGATAAAACAAGAATTCAATATTAACTGACCGTCTTTATCCACTAAAATAAACTGACTGGCACCACACATGGATTAATGCTTCTGTTATAATTCACTTTCTAGAATTTTTGTTTTAGAATAAAAGTAAAAAAAAAAAAAAGACCCCTGTATATAAAGTAGAAGCTGTAAGGAATACAGTTTAAAAATAATTTTTTACCTGAGAACTTAAATTGGGTAAATCTGGTTTCCAAAAGAATTTTAAATCATCATTGGAAATAAAGTAAAATTTTAGGCAGTAACCATCCATGTTGGGACAACTTATTTACGTTGATCCTCTTGCATATTGACTGAATCAGTGAGTAAGAACACTGCTAGATATACTAGAAAGGGGTTCTTAATTGAACTCCTTAAATGTGGAATTTAAGTCCATAAAACATTTAATGTCAACATTTTAAACATATAAGCTTTTATAGGCTTCATCAGTTTTTGATTTATATGGTAAATGTCTGTTCTTACCCATCCAGGCAGTTTGGAATTCAGTTGAATTTATAAATGTAACCTAGAAGAAAGCGAAATTTTAAATGACAGTTTAATTTTCCACACACACAAAAATATTCCCCAAAACATTTCCAAGTAGATACTGTAGCTACAATTTTCCCTGATGATCTACTAAACCTTGGAATTTATCACACTTGCCCCTATGGCCCAGAATGAGAGAAGAAAATTATAGTAAGGGGCCTGAAAGAATGAGGAATTGATCCAGAAAAACTTTTCTTTTTGCACACAGAATACTGGGTATTACTGTCCAGGAATAAGTGAACCAGAGCTAATAATCCATAGGATATTGAATTCCCATGTCCCAGTTGTCATATTACATGAGATTACAAAAATACTAAACTTACGTACATTTTAAACTTAGCATTCGTGACTCACCAAAACTTGTCAAGAAATGAAGCTTCAGCTCTGGCTGATGTGGCTCAGTGGATTGAGCACCAGCCTGCAAACCAAAGGGTCATCAGTTCGATTCCCAGTGAGGGCAAATGCCTGGTTTGTGGGCCAGGTCCCCAGTGGGGGGCACATGAGAGGACAAGCAAACACATACTGATGTTCCTCTCCCTCTCGTTCTCTCTCCAAAAATAAAATCTTTTTAAAAAATGAAGCTTCAATTCAAATGCTACTTCTGTGAAGCTATGCGTATATACCCAAGATCTCATGTTTATTTCTCATTTTCAAAGAATTTTCAAAGTACTTCCACCACTTCCAATCATTAATTGAACCCAATGACCAGGCAAGCCACAGACTAGGAGAAAATCAATACATATATCTGACAAAGGATTTGTATTCAAAATATATAAAGCCTGCCTACAACTCAGTAAGATAAACAGATTTGAAAATGGGCGAAAAGCCGCTGAGAACTATACTTTGTAATAAATACTAAAAGATATTTCTAAGCATTTAAATACAATCAAGTTACTTTGTAAGGAAATTTCTAATTTGAACTCTGTGAGGGGCATGGGGGTAACTTTAGCTGATTGTTGCACGTTGGTCCTGTTCCTAAAAGAACACATTTTCTGCTATTAATTAAAGGTTCCAGGATCAACATAAGGATAAGCGAGGAATTCCCCCAGTTTGTTGCCTTCTGAATCATAGTGGAGCATTCGGAAGCAAACATCACAAAAGAAACACGGGTCATCTGGTGCAAAACTGTCATTGTTCGTCACCCATCTGTAGTTAAAAAAAAACAACGCATCATTACAATTAACTTTCTCAGCTGTAAGTTGTGAACTGTAATGATACATAAATATAACTCCCATTATTGCCCTCTCATCCTACCTAATAATTATAATCCTTCACAGGATTTTCTGTACATGCATAGATAGATTTATCCCTGTCAGTACTGTACAAGGCAACAGCTCAACTAACACATACACTGCAGACTGCTGTTTCTCTGAGCGACTACTTCAGGCACACAGAGAGGAATACAAATCCATAACAGAGACCACACACTTAACCATGACATTCCTATCCAAGGAACTGTCATGTGAACACAAATCATTTTCTTCTAAGGTCATCTTGAAAAAGAATAAATTAGATGCTGCAGAGCTGATAATTTTGCTTAATTTATCTTTCTAACTGGTAAATGAGTGTTAGTTAGAAAACTCCAGCTGTTTTACTTAGAATTCAGGATAAAATGTTAGAAGGGTGCATACAAATGGGAAATACAGGCAACATTATTCAACTGAAATTTTGGGTTTTGACCGGAGATGTTACTAGTCACAACTGAACATGTTATTTTTCAGTTTACCTAAATTCTGCACCGCATGGAATGTTGCCTACCCCTGAGTTACATTTTGATCTAATAACTTTGATTTATGTTTTCCTATTTATCATTTGGTAAAGCACATTTGCTACGGAATCCAAAACAAGTTGATGACACTAAATTCTCCTTTTCCTCTGAATGGTTTGTTGACTGATCTAGTTAAAGAAACACTCAAAACATGCACAATCACAGAACAGAAATTTTATGAAACCTTATTTTGACCTCTACATATGAAATGCTGTGTTACTTTTTCATTGAGGAGAAACTAGACGAAACTGATTTTGTAAACTGCAGACAGGAGGCAGAAAGAACATGGTTGGTTCCCTGATGACACTGAGCATTGTATCAACCAATTCAGTCTGACCTTCCCCTGGACTTTCGCTACACGTGATAATTAATTTCCTTATTGTTTACAAATGTGGTCGTAACCTAAAGTGATCTGCAGCACTTCCCTAATAAAAAAATCCTTGATATCATTTATACCTCAAAGTATAAGTCTTCAGATACAAAACAACTGAAATACCAAAAATCAAAAATACCTGACTACGAAAACCAGTACCTCTTTAAAAAAAAAAAAAAATATATATATATATATATATATATATATATCACTTACCTAGCTGTGTACATTTTACAGACAAAACATTTTCTGGTCCATAGCCAATGCTTCTTGATAAGAAGGGGATAAAGTTTCCTATCCAAGCAGTCATCACAATGCACAAGCCTTTTGTTCATGAGAAAATAAACGAAGATATTAAAGTGAAAATTTTAGTGATATGTAAAGAATCCAGGATATCTGAACCTCAACCCTAACAACATATGTAGATTATTATATATATATAGTTTTACATATAAAATGACTTTACACCAGGTTGCCCCAATTGTGTTCCACAAAACATGTTCTCCTATAGAGCATTCTGGATGGAACAATGCCTTCTATGAAACTTCCAAACCCCTCCATGGTAATATACACTGTAACCTTCTGAGAGGAAGATGCTGTGTGCAGCATTTCTTGAATGTATTCCATCAGAGAATCCTTGTTTTACTCAAAGCACTTAGTACACATTTTCATAGAACACAGTTTGAGCAACTAATTGATCTTATTCAAGTATTTTATGTAGCATTCTACTGAGATTGACTGGTCATGTGGTACAACATAGCTCTTAATTACTGTCCTCTATTAAAATCCAAATCTAACTCCTGGCATAATGTAAATTGGTAGGACTTTACTTTTAAGTATCAGAGTTAAGAAATTGTGAGTGGAAATTAATCTGCACTGTGCTACTGATCTGCTGAGTGTGTCTGGGTAAGTCCCTTAACTGAACTGGACTCCAGGCTCTTCAGCTGAAAGCTGAAGGGACTGCTCAGGGTATTCTAGTGATCTCTGGTCTCAGACAATTCTAAAATTTGATTCTACACTGTTATTTTTTTTCAGCAAGAAAGGACAGCAATATCACCATCAGAAATTGACCAATGAACTTTTTACAGCTCACTAATTAATAAACTATGGAATGGCACTCAATGGTTAAATCAGCCTGTAAGATAAAAATGACTTTTAGTCTAAACTATGTTCCAAGTTGCCATGAGTTTAAGAATGACACTGTATGTAGCAATATGCCTACACCACAAGAAATATAAGGAGAGTAAAAATAGGCAAAATAGCTTACATAAAATGGAAAGAACACATTATTCAAGAAGTATATAATTTTGAAGTCATAAATTTATGAAGTTTATGTGTTCTCGGCTTTTGCTGCAAAAATTCTCAAAGGGCAATTGTTATACACAACTGTTTATTTTTAATTTAGCTCCTCAACATCTCTCAGAACTACTATAACTTTGGTTAAATAGATACTTGATGTTTAAATTATAACAAATTAATACTACCAACCATATAAGGTACATAAAACACTATGTTCTTTTTACTGTATAATGCTTTCTTTTCTAGGTCCTGATTCTCTCATGTTTGTATCTGCTGAGGTTTCAGTGTTCCTGTCACTAGTTCGGTTCCCACCGAATGGTGAAAATATTCTCCAGTGATATGCGCCGACGACAGATCTAGTAGCTCTGGACTCCCTTCCCAAGTCCTCCATCCCGCAGTCCTGGATTAAGTGGTTCTCCTGCTGCTAGACAGCCATCATTCTGGGATTTCCCTTTCCTGTCACTCTGAGGGTTCCATTTACATCTTAGGTATTCTGTTTTGCATTCCATGTTTTTTCTTTTTGAAGATCCAATCATTGTGTGAGGTACTACCTCAGGTAGCTTCCTGAGAATCAGTGCACGGGAGGTGAAGTTTTGAGACTACTGACTGAGACCAGAAAGAAATGGAAGGAAGGACATTCTGAAGCATCAGTGCTTATTATTGGTATAATAAACATATGGATATGACATTGCTCCTCAAAAAAAACTTAGAATGGTCTCTCAGAAGGAATCCAAATGGAGACAGAGCAGGGCTCATTCCTATATATTTTCCTTCATCAGTTGATTATTTCCTAAATAAGGACATGAAAAGCCTTATTCACGAGAAGATACCAGCTATATAAAATTATAACTAATCTTAAAAGCTCCTTTTAAACTATTTTAGTCCTTCCCACTTTAAATCTTTATGAAATCATTAAGACTTATTTGTCAACTATCAGAATTACTTGTCAATCATTAGAATTATTCTTGTCTACCCCAGTTTCCTTTCATCGCCTTCAAATTTTGGCAAAAGACACGAATCTGAGAAATACAACTGCAAATCTGCAGCATGCTTATATGGTAAAACCTGTCTGATATACAAATGGTGATACTTTAAAAAATATTTGTACATTTTTAACCCTCTATAAACAGTAAAACATTTATATTTTCTAAAATACAAATGAGAGGATACAAAGTTGATCACTGGGTGGAAAACACTTATTTTTGCTGTTTCCAAGCCAAGCTGCACTGACAATTACTTTTACTCCTCATATTCAAAACAAAAAACAAAAACCTGTGCTTTTATACTGTGAAATAAACAAAACAGATGTTCTGAGTACTGCCACTTACCTTATGTCAGTAACAACAATCACATGTTCACAGTCTCCCTGGTGACAGTATAGGTAAGGAACACCCAGTTTAATATTTAAGTCATTGAAGGAGAAGTCTTCCATTTTCGCAGCCTGAAACTTTCCGTAGCCTCTGTCATGGGACTCCGACCACTCAATGATCGTTCTGAGTGGGAAAGACAAGGATGTATCATTACTCCACAAAAAATTAAAAATGACAGAAAATGGGCTGTGACTGCAGTATTTCCCAAAACCTGCCTGCCCCAACGAACTGGACAGTTCCCATCTCGAGATGAAAACCATAGTGGTTGGTACGTGTTGGAAATTAGGAATTCTGAATTTTTGTTCATCCATTAGAGCATAAGTTCTCAAAGTGTGGTTCCTAAAACCCTACAGAGGCTTGTGAGGTCAAAATTATCTTTATAATAATCCTAAAATATTATTGCTGCCCTTTCAGCTCTTATTCCCTCATAAATGACCATTTTTCTGGAGGTTACATCACATGGGTTATCACTTGAGACTGAATGGAAAAATGTATAATAATGCCACTTTTCTTGCTATTTTATTTTGTTCTGAAAATTTTATTTTCTTTTTTAAAAAAATATTTTATTTATTTATTTTTCGAGAGAGGGGAAGGGAAGGAGAAAGAGTGGGAGAGAAACATCAATGTATGGTTGCCTCTTATGCGTCCTGTGCTGGGAACTGGCCTGCAACCCAGGCATATGCCCTGACTGGGAATCGAATCGCGATACTCTGGTTCGCAGGCCCGTGCTCAAGCCACTGAGCTACGCCAGCCGGGGCTCTGAAAATTTTATTTTTTACAAAAATGTTATTGTTCATGTTTAACAGAATTATTTAGTACATATTTAAAATATTTGAGTCTGAACTGTTAGTATGATAAATATTGATAGCTATAACCCACATGAACAAAAGCTCTTTGGCATCCTCAATTATTTCCAGTATAAAGAAATGCTGAGCCCAGCAAGATGGAGAACTGCTACATTAGAATATAAATGAAAATGCCTATAATGAAAGATAATTTACATAAACAATCAGATACACACACACTCTCCCTGTCCCTCTCTCCAGTTGCTAGGACACTGATAATAAAAGCTCAGTCTAACTGCCATGATGATTAGATACAGATGTTTCATGCTCTGTACTGAAGAAACCATGTAAGTTACCTAGGGCAAACAATCGTGTGCACTAAACAAGCAGAAAAATAGCGAAACATTAAAACTTCCTGCTGTCACCTAATACAAAGAACAGACATTAATAATAAACTAAGTGGGATTTAGTTCTTTTTTTCAGATGCGCCTAAGGCTCAAATAAGACTGACTATAATTTCTAAAATACTTAAAAAAACAACTCTGGACAGCTGGCAAAGATCCTGAAACGGCTGATGTAAATTTTTGGTAGGGAAATTTTCTTGGAATAAAAATTTTGATTAAGTTATTAATACCTAGACTAACTTTGAAAGTATTTTTAAAAATGAGAGATAACTTTTTACCCCAAATCAAACAAAACAACCCAACACAATAATTCCTGGGCAGATCCTTCACAGAATAGTAAAAGGATTTGTGGAAGATAATACCATTTTGAAAATCAGAAAGACTTTGAGAAGAGTTTTGGAAACTGTACCTGCTCAAATCTCTGCACTCAGGGTATCTTTTATCATTGTAAAATGTTCCTTCAAAATAAAAGAAGGCTGATTTGTATAGGTCCTATAAAACAATAAGATGTTATTGAGAGAAAGCAATTATAAAATTGTTCTAAATACTGATTAAAATTTTGTATGCCATGAAATCACACAAATGTTTAACAATAACTTTATAAAACTTCATAGAATAGGCTCGACTCATTCATTAATTTAATATTTAAAATGGCAACTCTTACGAAAAAATATGTTAGTTACCGGGTGTCAAGGTGCAATTTTACCCAGTTATTTTATTCATTAAGTTTGATTTAAGTTTGTAGTCTCCCCAGATTCATGAAAAAAACCCAAACAGAAATGAAATACATATTATTTTATTTATACATACACAACAAGTTATTTTATTTTTAAAAGATTTTTATTTATTTATTTATTTTTAGACAGAAGGTAAGGAAGGAAGAGAGGGAGAGAATCAATGTGTTGTTGCCTCTTGTGCGCTCCCTACTGGGGACCTGGCTCACAACTCAGGCATGTGCCCTGACTGGGAATGGACTGGTGATAATTTGGTTCGCAGACCAGCACTCAATCCACTGAGCCGCACCAGCCAGGGCATTATTTTAGATATCAGGACTAAAAACTAAACAGTCATATCTTTGGTGTTTCCCCTGTGTTAACAACAATAATCATGGAGTTATGTTTATCATTTAAAAAAATTTTCAATGGGCTTTTATAAAAACTCCCTATTTATATTTCCAGTAACTCTTAGGCAAGAAGAATGTGAATTTCTAGCCTTATTCAAGCAGTCTGGCCCAGAGTACCATAGTAGCCGCACAACTGGTCTGAACCCTTAGGTTTCGTTCCTTTCATTCTACCAGGCTTTCTATCACAGGGGTGGCTCTTAATCCTGAGCACATACTGGAATCACAAAAACATCAAAAACCAAATCTCATCTCAGATGCATTAAATGAGACTCTCTGAGGATGTGGCTCATGCACCAGTGTTGTTCCAAGCTCTCCAAGAGATTACAATGTGCAACTGATGCTGAGAACCACTCCATTAGACTTGTCATTCGCCATATGCTCAAAATTAACCCCCTGGAAGAGAGTTAAAAAGACCCGTGTTCTTTTCCTGAACCTACACTTCCTCCTTGGACCTGTTTCCTCACCTGTAAAATCAGCATAACACCTGGCGTGCTATGTTATAGGATTGTGATGAGAACCAAAAACAGTTTATGAAAGGATATAAAAGTTTATAAAAGATATATAAGCTTCAGACAGTAAAATAATTTTACCTTAAAATACCCTAAATTCTCTGCTACTTCTTTCAAGCTACTATTCTTTTAAATTGTCTCTGTTCCCCCATTTACAGATCATATGGCATCGGTGTCAAACACCATTATAAGGATGGTTTTGCTGTTTTCCTTGGGCACCTCACTAAATCTCCCTGACTGACTTTTTCTCATATTTCTGTAAAATACGAGTAAAGCCATTACCTTCTTGCCAGGTGACTGCAGAGATAAAAGGATATAATGTACTATAATACCATTTCTAGTTGCTGTTAAAACTCAAAATCTGCCACTGAATATATTTCTAAACCTTCAAAGAGGTCCACTAGGGCCCAACATAAAGGTTCTGAAAGAAAATACTGCCTTATTTTCAACACAAAAACAAAGTTCAGAGTATATACAATGTTGTTCATTACAACTTCCGCCAAGATGGAGGGGTAGGTGGAAACACTCTGCCTTCTCGCACAACCAAGTTTAAAAACAACAAAGTTTTAGCAACAAAAAACACAGCCAAACCACAGAAAATTGAACTAAATGTAAGACCAACAACAATGTAACGTTTAACCAGACCGGTAAGAGGGGCGTAGCCAGCAGTGGAACAGGTGGGGCAAGAAAGATCCCCCTACCCAGGTGCGCAGGCAGCTGTAGGCGGATCCCAGGTGTAGGGTACCAACGGGCGGACCCATTGAAGGCACGAGGAGGCAGGCTGACCTTGGTCACACATTCGCGAGCAGATAAACCAGCAAAGGAGCAAGCAGTGAGACAGACCGGGCAGGCCCCAGGAGCTGGAAGCAGCAGAGGGGACCGCCATTGCCCCGTTCTGGCCCCACCCCCACATACAGCATCGCAAACTATCGAACTGGGGAGCCGCGCCCTGGTGAATAATTAAGGCTCCCCTCCTCATACATAACAGGTTCAAACAGACCAAAACATGGCTCAAGAAGAACTCAGAGCCCCAGAGCCCGTAAATTTAAGCAATGAAGAAATTGCCAACCTATCAGATGCACAGTTCAAAACACTGGTGATCAGGATGCTCACAGAACTGGTTGATTTTAGCCACAAATTAGAGGAACAAATGAAGGCTAAACTAATTGAAATGAATGGTAATGCACAGGAAACCAATAGTAATGGAAAGGAAACTGGGACTCAAATCAAGGGAGCAGACCAGAAGGAAGGAAAAATGACCAAAAAGAAAAATATGAAGAAACAAGAATTCAAAAAAATGAGGAGAGGCTTAGGAGCCTCCAGGACATCTTTAAACATTCCAATATCCAAATTATAGGGGTACCAAAAGGGGAAGAGGAACAGCCACAAGTGGAAATCTTATTTGAACAAATAATAAAAGAGAACTTCCCATTCTGGCAAAAGAAATAGACTTCCAGGAAATCCAGGAAGCTCAGAGAGTCCCAAAGAAGTTGGACCCAAGAAGGAACACACCAAGGCACATCATCATTACATTAGCCAAGATTCAAATGAAGGAGAGAATCCTAGAAGCAGCAAGAGATAAGGGGACAGTCACCTACAAAGGAGTTCCCATCAGACTGTCAGCTGATTTCTCAAAAGAGACCTTACAGGCAAGAAGGGGCTGGAAAGAAGTATTCCAAGTCATGAAATCCAAAGACCTACATCCAAGATTGCTCTATCCAGCAAAGCTTTCATTTAGAAAGGAAGGACAGATAAAGTGCTTCTCAGATAAGATCAAATTCAAGGAGTTCATCATCACCAAGCCCTTATTGTATGAAATGTTAAAGGGACTTATCTAAGAAAAAGAAGATAAAAAAAGATGAACAGTGAAAGGACAGCAAACTCACAGTTATTAACAACCACACCTAAAACAAAAGCAAATTAAGAGGACAGCTAGATCAGGAGCAGAACCATAGAAATGAAGATCACATGGAGGGTTAGCAACAGGGGAGTGGGAGAAGGAGAAGGAGGGAGAAGTACAGATAATAAGTAGCATAGATGGTAGGTAGAAAATAGATACGGGGGAGGGCAAGAATAGTAGGGGAAATATAGAATCTAAAGAACTTGAGACACATGGTCATAAACTAAAGGGGGGATGGTGGGGGAGGGGGGTATTCAGGGTGGGGGGGAATGAAGGGGGGAAATAGAACAACTATAATGGCATAATCAATAAAATATATTTAAAAATTTTTCGTTCATTACAAAGTGTAGCTACAGAACTTCATTTTAAGTTATTTAGGCAACTTAATGCTTTGACATAACTATAAATTAGAAAGGTAACTTTAAAATAACAAAAACAGTTTCCATTTACATCCTAAGTCACCCATTAAAAGCTTTTCCTCATCTCAGCATACAAATGGTTAAGAACAGAATACATGAATAATCTCAATACAAGTAATTTTCACTTTAATAGTAACCAGTGATACTAAGTAGTTTCCCTATTCTGTCGGCTAGTTTGACTATGGTCCCAGAGGGGGTGAGAGCAGAGGATCAACCAACCAACATGGAAAAACTAGTGTAAGAAGGTATTTCTGTTATTAATCTAATATAACCTAAGTCTATGGGTAGCATTTCCATTTTATAAACAAAGTAACTATCAATAACTAACATGATCATTTGAACACAGTCATCAGTTATATACAATTTTAGGCATCAGTTGGCCATTTATATTCCACTGTCACTGAGACACGCTATAGTGGAACTATAGGCTTCAGAAACATTCCTAGGATCTGTTGTGAGGAAAGTGGTAATGGGACAGAGTGCTGGAGAAGCTTGGGTAAGGAAATTTTTACAACTGGAATTAATGTTACCATTTTTCCTATACCAAGGCTTTATTTATAATAAGTCTATAAAGTACTTCCTTCAGTGTGTCTCTAAGAAAAAGTCTTAAGAGATTATTAACAACAATAAAAAAAGACTCATCGGAGTAATGTAAAAAGATCAATAGAATCAACACTAAAACATGACGAACCGCCCTGACTGATGTGGCTCAGTTGGTTGGGCATCATTCCACAAAGTGAAAACGCCACTGGTTCATTACTGGGCCAGGGCACCCATCTGGGTTGCAGGTTCAGTCCCAGGTCAGGGTGCAAGTGGGAAGCAACTAACCAATGTTTCTCTCTCACACTAATATTTCTCTCCCTCTCTTTCTCCCTCCCTTCTCCTCTGTCTAAATATAAGTAAATAAAACCTTTAAAAAAAAAATAAGGAACCACTAAAAAAACTTAAGCTAAAGGCCCTGGCCAGATCCCCAGATGGGAGTGTGTGAGAGGCCACCAACTGATGTATCTCTCACACACTGATGTTTCTCCCTCCCTTCTCCTCTCTCTAAAAGTAAATAAATAAAAAATCTTAAAAACAAACTTAAGCTAAGAACAATAGTACTATTTTATATGTATATATTTTTAATTACTCCATTCTTGAACTACTATACTACAAAATAAATGTTAGCAAAACATTTTTTAGACATAAGCTGTTAAAAGATGTTTAGACTCAGACAGCAGGCTGACAGCTATGGAGGGCAGGGTTGGGGGTGGAGGGATGAAGCATAAAGAAAAAATGATTCATGGACAGCAGTGTGGTGACTGCAGGGGGAAATGGAAGTATAAGGGGGATAAATAGTAATGGAAAATATACGATTGAAATAAATTTAAAATAGCCCTGGCAAGTGTGGCTCAGTGGATTGCCTGCAAACCAAAAGGTCTCTTCTCTAGTTTGATTCCCAATCAGGGCACGTGCCTGGGTTGTGGGCACGTGCCTGGGTTGTGGGCCAGGTCCCGAGTAGGGGGGTACAAGAGGTAATTGATTCATGTATCTCTCAC